TTTTTGACTGCCAATTGTCATATTATAGTATATATGAAAGATATTATATCTTTCTCCTTTTAATCATGTGATAAAAAGAAATTGGTAAAAAGTTTCTCCCGACAACCACACTCCCATCACATTTTATAGCAAATTCCATTCCACTAGTAAAATGAGTGCAAAAAAATATATATATTTTTATCTCTTCCTTATACAACCTGGTAGAAAAGGACACGAATACACGCAGTGCGCACTAACCCTTCTAATGGAATTGGCTTTTAAAGTGGCACTATTTGGCACTATTTGAGTGTTGTTCCAGGCACACACGAAAATTTCCCAGGAACAACCCTGTTGTAGGACATGCTCAGGCAACGTGGTACGAATTTTCCTCAGAGTTGCAACCCTTAATGCATCTTGTCCTGGCTAATGGATTTGATCCAAGCCATGCAGCTGTTCTACCGAAGCGCCCATCAGTACACTTAGTCCCCAGCATCCATATGTGGTGATTGGTAGGCTGGGAGCTCAATGTCATCATTTTCTTTTAGGACGTTCCGACCATATAGCATATTTGTGACCATTCTTGTTCCATCATTTTGTAGTACCTTTCTTTGATTTTACCGAATACTACTTGGCAACATTTTTTGTCTTCATATTCTGCCAGGTTAGTAGTTTGAAATCGTCTGAATAATTTTATTAAACCCTATAAAAAAGAACAATCACTCATGAAAGGCCATACCAAATAATTGACCTACGGGCCAGAGAAAGGTTAAAGCGTCACTGTTAGGAGGGAGGAGTTATATTGTCCAAATCCCTTACAAACAAATATGGTTGTTTACCTTTTTCACTACCTTTTAGCAGTATATTTAATCCCCACCGCTTTTTAGCATACATTGTAAGTTTTTAAACAACATAGTTGCTTATTCAGCAATATCTATATATATAAAACACAGTTGGGTTGGTTCCACTACTTATAACTCGAGAACGGCTGGACTGATTTCAATGATTTTTGGTTTATTGGATTTGTTTTTGTCCCGAATAACATAATAAATCGAAAAAATCGGAAAAAAAAACAAAAAACAAAATTACCTATTTTACTTATTTATAAAAAAAAATCATTAAGCCCGCATACGGCGCCATCTCTTATAACCGATACTAAGTTTACCACCACATTTTTATTGCAAACCATTTTGTATACGGCGCCATCTCTGATACCTAGATCGAAGCTCGCCGTTGCGCGGTAATTTCATTGCAGATACAGTAGAACAATGCTGCTCAGGAACTGGAGCTATTCCGAACAGAACTATTCCGATCAGATAGAGTGGTGCAGAAAGAGTAGATCAGATAGAGTAGTGCAGATAGAGTAGAACAGATGGAGTAGTGCAGTGCATGCAGTGCAGATAGAGTGAAACGGAGCTGCGCTGAACAGAGCCTACTCTGAAAAGAACTATTCCGGACAGATAGAGTAGTGCAGTAAGAGCAGTGTTAGAAACGGTTTGAACTCTTCGGAGCAGCTGTTTTACCATTCTGTATGCGACGCCATCTATGATACCAGATAGAAACCTTTATTTAGTATTCGACCTCGAAAAGAATGGGTACATTCAGGCGGTCCCAGCGGCTTAGCTCAGCCTCTCAGCAGGAACTTTATTCTCGAAACCAAGGAACAGCGTTTTCATAAGAACGATTACTCTGTCATTGTCAGTGTTATACCGGACGACAAAGACAGAATCTTGGTTCCAATGATAATGCTGTTCCTTAGTTTCGAGAATAGGGTTCCTGCTGAGAGGCTGAGCTGAGCCTATGGGACCGCCTGAATATACCCAATAACCCTTTTCACGTGGCTCCGGTTTAACAAACCGCAATATACCGCTCAAATTCGAGTGGTAGGTAGCCATCGCGTCACTTTGTAACCGGGTTAGAAAACGGTATGTCATTTCTTTAACCGTTTTGTAATCCGGTTAGTTAAACCGGAGCCACGTGAAAATAACTAATGTGTACATTAGGCAATTTAAACCACGTGACATTCAAGATGACGTGGCGGCCACACATGGGCAAAATCTGAAGAAACGAAGTATCCTATTGCAAGCAAAATCACCCTACGAGACTTTTACTGTCAGGAGCCAATGACTTAGATTCGGCAATAGAAATTCAACAACAGTTACTCAATATGATGCAATCTGCTGGTTTTAATCTCAGAAAATGGACCAGTAACAATCCAGCCCTGCTTCAAGCCCTTCCCGAATCGCAACAAAACCAAACCGTCCAAGAATTATCCGAAGATGACATTCAAAAATCACTTGGCGTATTTTGGTCGCCTTATGATGACAACTTCATGTTCAAAGTTACCACATCAACAGAGAATCTAATAACAAAAAGGCACATCCTATCAGAGATATCAAAAATTTTCGATCCCTTAGGATGGTTATCACCTATAGTCATCAAATCAAAAATACTCATACAAGACTTATGGCTTTAAAGATTAGGATGGGATGAGAAAATAGAAGGTGAACTAGCAGACAGATGGATAACCTTTAGAAAGGACATGAATAAAGTCGAAGATATCAGAATTCCAAGATAGATGCAATTTAGCCAAGGAAACCTAATTCAACTCCACGGATTCTGTGACGCCTCTGAAAAGGCCTATGGAGCTGTCATCTACAGCCGAACACTCGACTGAAGAGAACATAGTTGTCACACTTCTCTGGGCAAAATCAAAAGTAGCTCTAGTAAAACTAAGAACAACGTTACCGAGACTTGAACTCTGTGCAGCACACTTATTAGCGGAAATGATAAACCAAACTATTGCGACACTAGAGATAGAAAATATAGAAACTTTCGCATGGAATGACACCATGATAACATTAGGCTGGATAAAAGGCCAGCCCAATCGATGGAAAACATTTGTTGCCAATCGCGTGAGTGATATAAATAGACACGTAGATAGCAGCCACTGGAACCACGTAAAAACATCCGAAAATCCAGCAGACGTTATATCCAGAGGGTCTAATCCAGAACAATTAGCAAACAATCTCCTGTGGTGGAATGGACCAGCATGGCTTCATAGTCATGAACCACTACCATTAGCTAAAGAAATCCCGAAACGGACCAAGAAGCTAAGAAAACCATAAAATGTTTCCAAGTTAAAACACAAATCACAGAAAACATAATCGAACGATTCTCCGACTTAACCAGAATGATAAGAATATTAAGCTACTGTCGAAGAGTTTTTCACAGGTCCAACGAACCAATATTATCTGTCGAAGAAACAAGAAAAACGCTCCAAGAAGTTATCAAAGTAATCCAAAACTGCGAATTTCCATCCGAGATATCGTCCATTAACACAAAGAAAACCGTGGAGAAATCAAGCAAAATATTTAACCTAAGCCCATTTATTGACGGGGAACAAATCCTACGAGTTGGCGGAAGATTACAGAATTCAGAGTTACCATACAGTCAGAAACATCCTATAATACTACCAAGTCAAATCATTTGAGCAAACTAATAATATTGGACACACATCACAAAACCTTGCATGGCGGAAACCAAGCAACACTGGCTTACCTCAGAAGAAAATACTGGATTATCAATGGGAAGAAAAGTGTAAGAAGCATCTTGAGTAAATGTATTACATGCATCAGGTACAAAGCAAAAACCTCAGAGCAGCAAATGGGCCAATTACCTGCCACGAGGGTCACATCATCCCCACCGTTCATTAACAGTGGAGGAGACTATGCCGGCCCTATCAAAATCAGAGCTACTAAAGGAAGAGGTCACAAGTCATATAAAGGCTATATCTCAGTTTTTGTATGTTTTTGCACCAAGGCAATACACCTAGAAGTAGTAAGCGATATGACGACTGATTCGTTTTTAGCAGCCTTCCGGAGATTTACTGCGAGAAGAGGTCACTGCGGAAATATTTACAGTGACAATGGAACAAATTTTGTTGGGGCAGCACATTATTTTGAAGAAGAAGTTCTCAAATTAACTCAACACCAATCCCTGCAAAATACAATGGTCAACCTTGGCACTAACTGGCACTTCATCCCACCGGCGGCACCTCATTTTGGTGGACTGTGGCAAGCTGGAGTCAAGTCAATGAAACATCACCTCAAACGAGTAATTGGAGAAACAACCCTCACGTATGAAGAACTTACAACTTTGTTACACCAAATCGAAGCAAGCCTCAATTCTAGGCCGTTATGGCCACTCTCTGACGAAGTAGACGACTATTTCGTCCTAACTCCTGGTCATTTTTTAATTGGAAGAATATTATCTCCAATTGACCCAATAGCAAGTAATATAAATTCCAGTTTGTCAGAGAAATGGAAGCTTACCCAAAAAATGAAAAAGGACTTCTGGAAAGTTTGGAGCACAGAATATTTAGGAAGATTGCAGCAAAAATATAAATGGCAAAATCAGGAAACCAACCTTAAGAAAGGAACCATGATAATTATAAAAGAAAATACAATAAATCCCAGCCAATGGCCCTTAGCACGCATAACAGATGTTCATCCTGGCAGAGATTCCGTAGTAAGAGTAGTCACACTCAAGAAAGCAGACAGAGCTGCATTGAAACGACCGATACATACATTGATCCCACTTCCATTAGAAGAAATGGGAGAAGAAACACTGACCATTCCCACTCAGGTTACAGCAAATATGGCCATAACCTCAAGCAGTCACAATATCAAAAGAGAATGCACTGTGAAGCAGCATGTGAAAACCAAGAAATCAAAAGTATCGTATTTTCAAATCATTCAACTATTTATGTTATGGTTCAGTTTGATGCTTCTCCCAAAATGTCAAAGCAGCTATGATTACCTAATACTTTTACCTGACACTCAAGCGTTACCAGCAACACCACTCCTCCTTCGGAGTCGTGGTGTTGCTGCGTAAAGCGTTTCGTGACAAGTAAAAGTATTATCCGGTAATCCTGAAACCTCTTGTGGTATTACATTCGATAATTTTGAACTGTGTTTGACTTTCTAATTTTGTGGATTCATCAATTTTAATTTTAATTTTAGGTGATTTCTGATCCAGAGAGTAAACATTAATTTTCTTCAACCAAGGCCAAATTCACCATCGGAAAAAACTGAATTTAATTCAGCTGGATACGTTAACACAACATTTAATAGGTATTTAATAATTCAGAGGCAGTACGAAGTTCACCGGGTCAGCTAGTAATTATATAAAAGAAATGGCAATCAAGCGGGAGCGTTCTATTATTTTCAGACATTGTCCGAGTAATAAGTTAGTTCCACCTATTTCGTTTCTTTTTTTATTTAAATAAATTGTTTTTAAAAAGTTTAAGTTTCTGATTCGAAAATATAATTAGTACACGGGCGCCAAAAATAAATAAAATAAAATAAAATAAACATTATTTCAGATAAGATATTTTTCAATCTACTCAATGAAATGGAGGTAAATAAATTACCAGTTACAGTCATAAACGCAGACAATACAACAAATACGCATTCGTTTATCTACAATGGAAAAAGTACAGGAATATTACGATTTTATTGTGCCTGTGGTTCTTGAAGCTGGGAAAGTAAGTAAAACTGTCATATATTATATCACAAAAGTTTTAAATTTGATCGATTAAACTATCCAACATATTTTGAACACGATTATAAATTAATAAAAGCTTTTATTTGGAAGTTATTGTGCATGAAACTATTTGCCAAAAAGCAAAATCATGCAAAAAATATTTGGATAGTTTAATCCATTTAAATCTATGAGTGGTATCGTGGCTAGATTATTTCCTGAATAATTACATCGTGCTTAAGAAATATTCTGTGGAAATAAAAGGGTGTCCGCATAAGACTACCGAGCGGCAGTATCTCGACAATGGTAAAGTTTGGAGTTTTTTTTTTTTTTTAATTTACATAATTTCATGATAGCTAAGGTTTGAGGATCTGTCAAGAATTTTTTAGGAAAAATCATGAAAATGTGTAATTGTAACGCCCCCTAGATTATTTTTGATTTAAATTGAACGGTTCTCAGAGGAATAAAAAACAATAGAGTCCCACATAACAAAATTGCATCCTTAGAATGTATTAAGAATGTTCTTTTTTTAGGAGGAATGTGCCTAGAATGTTCGCCAAAACCATTGCGAATGTCCTGAGAATGTTCTGAGAAAAGATTGTAGAAATACTGTTTGCAATACCCAAGAACTTCCTGAGAAATCCATTAGGATATTCCTAGAATATACCTATGAGATTCTCAGTACATCCTGAAAAGAATATTCTTGTTTGATTCTAAAAATATGCTCGATATGTATAGGTATTCTCACATTCAAAGAATGTTTCTATGACATTATAGTTATGTTTTCAAAAGAATATTATACCAATATGCTTGAAATATTCTTAGAATATATCTACATAAATCATTCTCAATATGTATCCTAGACATAACATTCTTGGTTGATTCTAAGGATATACTTGGAATGTTAATTTTCGCTTCCAAATAATGCTCCTTCCAGTCCTTTTATATTAAAGGCAGTGAAAGAGTTGTTGGGAAACTTCTCTGGAAAACACAAGTATTTAACCAAAGCTCCGGTTTCGAGCTTGTTATGCTCTCGTCAAAGCACACCAACTGAGAGAAACAGGTTCCAAGGTGATTCAAACGCGAGGTAAGATGTAGATCTTTAATAGCGCGTGATTCCCTCTCTTGGAAATCCTACAAAGCAAAAGGAAAAGAATATACCTATAATATTCTTAGTAGGTTCTAGATAGATTATTGTTTAATTGTTAAATTATGATTTTTGAGTAGGTACTTCAGATAATTAGGTGAACAATATGAAAATATTCTTATCATGGTTACCTACCTATATAAACTTCTCAGCACAACTTGGTAGGTATATTCTTAATACTTGATAGAGATGTTAGCCCAAAGAACATTTTTTAGGGTACATTATAATAATGTTCGTATGAAAATATTCAAAGATTGTTATGTAAAGTAGGTTCTTAGCACAATCTTTCAGGTAGGTGCATAGAAGCAACATTCCTAGTACATAAATAGAACGTTCAAAAATGAATATTTCAATCGAAACAATCTTAGAATATTCATTAAACATTCATAAAAGAACATTCCAAAAAGCACTTTGAGGGAATATTCTGAGAATATGAATGTTCTTTCACTGTTATGTGGGATGTAACAAGCATTTTAATATGCTCGTTCCAATTAAACAAATCAGTTCTTGTTGATTTCTTTAAAATAATGAGAGTGGACTGTATTATTTATATATTTACATTTATTTACACACACGACTATTTACACTATTTACAATTTGCATTTTCTCGTTTTTGTTTACGTTTTTAGACTTATAGAGTCTGTAAAAATGGTCATATAGGACCTGCCCAGAATTATCTGGTGCGCTCGGTGAGGTTCGATTCGACACTGACTGTTCCCGTTGGTTCACTCGCGTAGATGCCGGAAGCCACTTTACCAAAAACTTTGACAAGTGATTTTTGACACTGTTTGACACATACGCGCACACTTCCGGTGCATACCGGGAAAATTAAAATTTGAATTTTAAATTTACTGTTGGAATATTGTTTCCAACATGCTCGCGGCCAAGAAAGATTCTTAAAATTATTACAAATACTACAACATTGTAAACTTAAATTAAACGAGAGTAAAATATATGTGCATCGTTGCACAAAATAATTAAGCGATATAGCACTTATTAAATGGCTTATAGAGCCTCAAAAATTTGACCTATAGAGTCAAGTTATTACATATTTTATGAAACTAAGAAAGTTACATTATAGGTACATAGATTATGGGTAGCTTATAGAGCTTAAAAATTTGACATGGGTAGCTTATAGAGCTTAAAGGCTTGACTTATAGAGCCAAGTTATTATTTTATATAACTTAATAAGTTATACATAAATTATAGATAGCTTATAGAGCTTAAAGGCTTGATTTATAGAATCAAGTTATTATTTTATATAACTTAGAAAGTTATACATAAATTATAGACAGCTTATAGAGCTTAAAGTTTTGACTTATAGAGTCAAATACTTCTAGATATTGCTAGAAATTATTCTACAAAAAATATTTAGTAATGGCGACTTGAAATTTGTATTTACAAAATGTACAAATATTATAAAAAGTATTAAGAACCTAAACTATCTGAGGCAACTTAAGATCTAGGTATCTACAAAAATGTACAATTTTATGGACAATAGTAAAAACCTTAAGTATCTAACTATATAAATATGTATAAATATGTATAAAATTGACATTGAGTCACAAGTCACTCGATGGGTAAGACGGCAATTTTTGTTACCGACCTTAAATAGTTACCTGTTCGTGTTCGAACTTCAACGACTCGAACTTTGCCATCTTTCCCAGGTATTGTTCTTGTGATTCTGGCAATCGGCCATTGAAGAGAGGGTACATTATCCTCCTTCAGCAAAACTAAAAGCCCTTCCCTTAGGTTAGGGACCGAGTGTTGCCACTTAGGCCTACTCTGAAGCTGCGCTAAATAATCTTTGTGCCACCGCTTCCAGAAGTGTTGCTTCACCTGAGTAGCCATATTCCAAAATGACAACCTATTTTCCGGAATTTCAGTCAAATCTTTTTCAGGAAAGCTTGTTATAGCTGAACCGGTTAAAAAATGACCTGGCGTCAAGTATTCTAAATCGAAAGGATCGTTTGTTAATTGAGTTAGTGGCCTAGAATTTAAAATTCCTTCCACTTGGACTACTAGAGTGTTTAATTGCTCGTAGGTCAATCAGCGCTCTCCCATTGTTCTCTTAAGGTGGTGCTTGGCACTCTTGACCCCGGCTTCCCAGAGACCCCCAAATACTGGCGAGTAGCTAGGAATAAACCCAAAAACGATTCTTTCATTTGCAACAAAATGTATTATTTTATTTCTGCTTTCAGATTCGAAAACCCGGTTAAGTTCATATAATTTGTTCTTTGCGCCTTTAAACGTTCCGCCATTGTCGCAAAAAACCTGTAAGGGTTTCCCTCTTCTAAATATAAATCTTTTGAAGGCCTCTAGGAAGTTATCGGTAGTCAAGTCCGACAAGACTTTCATGTGTATTGCCTTAACTGAAAAGCATATAAAAAGCGCAATATAAGATTTAGTTATTATAGGTTTTCGAATTCTTGACTGTTTAGTATAAAAGGGTCCGCAAAAGTCAATACCAACATTTTGAAATACTCTTGCAGGGTTAACTCTATCGCGAGGTAACGAGCCCATAAGCTGTTGCGAACAACGAGCTTTACTTTTAAAACAAATCACGCATTTGTGTATATTTTTCTTGACTTCTCTGACATCATTTATTATCCAAAAATATTCATTAAGACTGCTCAAGACCTGTCTTTGTCCTGCGTGTAGTTCAGGATTATTTTTGAATCGTTTTTCGAGGTTTTCGAATCGTTTCAAAGCTACCGAGAAAGAATCTCCTAGATTTAAATCCTCAATATTTCTTTTCAAAGGTAAGTACACTTCAAATTTATTATTTATTTTAGACACAGTATTTTTAAAAATGTTTTCGCAAGCTTCTTGCTCACTAGAATACTCTTTATATACTAAAGGTACTTTTTCTGTTTCCCAAAATTTTGAAATTAATTCTTCCATTTTAGGTTCGTTATCAACAATACAATGAAATGAAGCTACTGCTAAACTGGACTGGATATTTTTCGAGTTGCTAGGTATGGAACCACTTACAACATAGCCCAGGTAAATATTTTGCAAAATTAATCCATTTTTCCTCAAAAATATTTTTTCAGGTAACAAAATATCAAAAAATATATTCGCTCCCAAAAGAATTTGTATCGCATTTGGTTTATTGAATTCTAAATCAGAAAGTTTTATGTTTTTTGGAAGGTTATTAGAATTTTTACTAAATTCAAATTGTGGCAAAATGCCTGTTATCTCATCTACTATAGCGCAGGAGACATTTATTTTATAGTTTTGAACACAAGAATTAAGTGTTACGTCAATTGACTTTTTTACGTTCGTTGAATTATTCGAGACACCTATAATATTTAAATTGTTTGAAAACGTTTTATAACCTAGTTTATTAGCTAAATATGTGACTCTAAAAGACACTTGTGATCCGCTATCAATTAACCCACGAACAATCAAACACTCTCTGTTACTAGTAAAAACCTTTACCTTTATTGTAGGCAGTAAAACCGAATCAAAATTTCCATCCGAGTAGCAATGTTTTGAATGTGCTGTTGCAGCACTGCTACAGGACTGGACTTGGTCCATATCTGTGTTAATATTATTTTTGTTTTCTTCTTTTCTAGATCTATCTAAGTGTAACAAAGAGTTATGATTTTTATGGCAATAATTACATTTGAAAGAATATTTACAAGTTCCATTATGGCTATTTAGACACATTTTGCATCTTTTACTTTTGTCAATAAAGGAAACTCTATCACCAACTGGTTTTGATTTAAAAAATACACAACTGTAAAGTTTGTGACCTGTGTTTTGGCAAAACGGACACTTATTATGGTTATTATTATAATTTGAACTAGTACTTACATGGCTGTAATTTGCATTTTTATTTTGGTGAGCTA